TTCTACATTTGACATGTTTTGTTGAACCGTTTAATGTATGTCTGGCACAGAACGGCATGGCTCACCACCAGTGCCGTCGTCACACAAACAAACACATTCACACACTCCATCAGCAGGTGTCTGACTGGGGTTAAAAGATCAGGGTAAATGGGGTCACTGTTGCCCACTGTCCTGCCAAATGAGGGGTGGAGAACCACGCCTCCTCCTCACCGTCCTGCTCACTGCTCTTTCTGCTGTTTGTCCTCCTCTTTTCTCTGTCTGTCTCTCCCTCGCCCTCCCTTCATTTTCCCACTGTGTTTGTTTGAATACAGCTGCAACGTATGAATTTAGCATGGCACTTAAACAGCCCTGCGATCTGCCACCCTTCTTTGTCTCACACACAAACACACACTTTTACCCCTGAGACTCATCTTGTCCCTTTTACGGCCGGCATGACCTCGCTTTACTGGAGAACAGAAAATAAGAAGAGTGTCTCATTCAAACTCAATCTGCTCTGAGTTAAGCTCTAGTTAGTTTTCAAGGGCTGGAGCAGTTCAAGCTGCTCTACGGTGTCTGAGTGAAGGCTCTATTTTGTGCATTTGAGAGCTTCATCAGGTTTTAGAGGGTTATTGTTGTGTGATGAGAGTTATATCGAACTTGTGACATTTTCACCTTGTTCTGTCCTCTTTACTTTTTCTTTTGCTATTACTTTTACAAACATTGCAGTAGGGATATGCCAGTATCAAATTTTCATGTTGCGATTAATTGCTAATGCTTTTATCACGGTATACGGTATTATCACGGTATTGAATTTTAGTTTTAAAAAAGTGCTGTCATAATACAGTATAACAGGTTTAATAAACGATAACAATATAGTGCATATTCATTACCGTGATATATCGAATTACCGAATACCGGCACAAGTCTACATTGCAGTTTTCATCTGGTGGTTTTATAAATCAATGAAAAGTCATATTTAGAAATCTGAATATCATACCCTAGTGAAAAATCAATATACTAAAATGTATTTGAAATACATTTATTCCATGCTAAGTATACTACAAATACATTTACATATTTATGTGCTTAAAAAATACCCTGCAGTCGTACTTTTGGTATAATAAACTGGTATACCTAAAGTCTGCTAAAACTAATTTTGTGCTTAATGCACTTTAATTGTGTGGAAGTAGTGCTGACGTCCAACTAAAGATTTACTGAAGTATATTTGATTGTGCTAAAGTGGAACTATTGCAAGTATACTTCAGGTACACTTTAAAGATCCTGTATTTAAAGACCATACAATCATACAATCCTTACCAGTAGTGACATTAAAACACATTTTAGGCTTAATATTAAGAAATGTGCATTGTGCACAAATAGTACTCCAAATAAAGTTTAATTACAATTTTTATATCAGTAAATCTCAAGCGATATTTCAGTAAATATGTCAATAGATTTGAACTATACTTAGTATGAAATAAATGTATTTTAAATATGTTACTTTTTTTTTTTTTTACTAGGGTAGAGACTTAGGGTTGGGCTTATTTGACTTGGGCCAGTTACCGACCACCTAGCAACCAGTCAGAACACCCTGGCAACCATCTATAACTTCCTATAGCACTGTGTCAGTCAGAGATGTGTCTTCTCTCTAGATCTAAACAATGTCTTGAACTGTTTGTTAATTTGCCAAGACATTAAACAAATTAAATTCTACAATTTAAACTTTTTGAGATACATTTTAATATGAACTCAAAAAAAAAAATGCTATTCACATTCAACAGTTTTTTTACATTCACTCTATGACAACAATTGCCTTGTTTCTGTATTTATTTCTATTTATTCAAATGTCAAAGATTTTAATATGAATGCAAAAATTCCAAAACTAAATTATCTGAATTATATTCTGTATACCGGTAATTTGTAGCTCTATTCTGCATAACTATTCTATCCACAATAATTTCTTATATTTCTTTCTCCATATTCTATAATTCTATTTAGGGGAAACATCAAAAACTTAAGTTAATATTTTCTAACAAAACTATTTTCCCCTAACTAATTATATATATATATATATATATATATATATACTGTATATATACAGTCTTCAGAGTCACATGATCCTTCAGAAATCATTCTAATGTATTATATATGCATTACTTGATTTCTAGAATTGTCTTCGTGCTAAAGAAGAAAATGGAATTTTACACAAATGTCCGGTGAATGAATGCACTAAATTATAAATAACAAAACAAAACAAAAACAACTGTTACTGTGAAGAAAGGTAGAATCACCTTTGTGTGACTCATTTTTTTTTACAAAAGCTCAACTTCTGAAATGTTCAGCCACCTGTAGACACACTGACAAATCCAGTCCTGAGGTCTCCACCTAAACGTGTCCCACTGTGACTGTGAGGAGTCGAGTGTGAGCGTGTGAAGTGTGTGTGAAGTGAGTGGGAGCAGAAGGCCAGGCACTGGTGTCTGACAGTCATTTGTAAAGAGAGACAATACGGCTCATTGACCTGCCGGCTCCACTGTCTGTTGCACATACCTCGCCCAGCCCTCCCATTAGGACCCACCGCTCTTTAAACAGGACACCAGATTGCCACAGACCCAGGGAGGGGCGGAACGAGTGTGTGCTGCTGTGCGAGATGGAGAGGCATAATGGGAAGTTGCTTTGACAATGAGATTCCACACAAAACGGGGGGGTGACGGGGTGATTAGGTGGCACGTGAGTAAGTGTGACTTCAGTGCGCCGAAAACAAAAGTCACACACTCTCCAGCTCTACCCATCAGTCTCAGTCTCTGTCTCACACTCCTGTATCAGATTTCAAAAAGCTTTTCCATCTGCTCTGAGCCTGATGTCATTTCAGACCTGGAAAATCAGGTGTTCTGGGTTATCAGTTTCACTCTTACTGCTGTTTTTGTAGTAACAGCTTTTTGTGGCTTCATTATGTATTCTAGACAAGACAGAAACTTTGTCTTGTTTAGAATATGCAATGAAGCCTCAAAAGGCTGCTATTACAAAGCCTGCAGTGATAAATACCAATAAATACCAAAATCCACTGCTAAAAACTGAACACATTCAATAAAATAAAGCATTTAACTGAAAACTCTTTTACATTTTTGAACATTAATTGACATCTGAGAAATGTGAATATGTGCATGTGTTGTTAAATTATTAAAATATTAAATGAAAATCTCAGAGGGTAGTTCAAGTAAATATTTAAGGTCACAAAACATGCCTGAGGAAATGTTTTGGAATCCCTGTCTTAAAAGGCCAGGTGCTTAGAAAATGTTGATCTTATTGTATTAATATTATATGAGTTCTGTTTTCTATTCCCTTACTGTCATTTGCAAATTTTAACCCTGTTACCAATGTATAATATAATATAATATAACAATTAAATTAAATAGACACTGTTTAAACTATTTTAAAAGATTTATTATAAGTAATGATACATTTCTGCTTTACAAAAATATAAATATTTCTTTGATTATGTTTCATTACAACACTAGTAACATGTTTAAATGGTTCAGCTTTGAGTTAATCATTAAAAACAAACTGAAACTGAACACTGAATACCAATTCAATAATTAAGTCTTATGTGAGACCAAAATCACAATTTCCGAGAGATACAAACATTTGATGTTTTTAAACTCACTACTTTTTATGCTTGCTTAAAGGGATAGTTCACCCAACAATGAAAATTCTGTCATTAATTACTCACCCTCATGTCTTTCAAACCCATAAGACCTTCGTTCATCTTCAGAACACAAATTAAGATATTTTTGATTAAATCCGAGTGCTTTCTGACCCTCCATAGACAGTAAAGTAACTGAAATGTTCCCAGACCCAGAAAGGTAGTAAGGAATTCGTTAAAATAGTCCATGTAACATCAGTGGTTCAACTGTAATTTTACGAAGCTACGAGAATACTTTTTGTGGCGTTATTTTGTGTCATTAGTTTTTTCTTTGCACATAAAAAGTATTCTCATAGCTTCATAAAATTAGGGTTGAACCACTGATGTCACATGGACTATTTTAACGAATTCCTTACTAACTTTCTGGGTCTGGGAACATTTCAGTTACTTTACTGTCAATGGAGGGTCAGAAAGCACTCGGATTTCATCACAAAATCTTAATTTGTGTTCTGAAGATGAACGAAGGTCTTTTGGATTTGGAACGACATGAGGGTGAGTAATTAATGACACAATTTTCATTTTTGGGTGAACTATCCCTTCAATTTTATGTTATATAATAGTTTGCCTAACATTTCTTAGCCAAAAATGGCATTTATACCTCTAATGCTAAAGTTAGAAGACCATATTTGTGGAATTTGCCTTGAGAATGCTTTAAAACCATGACCTTCAACCACTAGTTGGACTTTTCTAGAGCCAAATACATCAAAGTCCATGAATTACTGCATATGCAGTTTTAAATCTTTATCTGATATATAGATGTGTAAATGTACTCGCACCATCTTTATCTGATACCCTTCACTGTCAACAAACATCCATGTCTTATTGTTATTCATTCCCATTGTCACAGCATGGTGATGACCTCTCTCTCTCTCTCTCTCTCTCTCTCTCTCTTTTCTTTGCTCACTGACGGTGACAAGCTGTTGCTGTGTCCCTCTGGGCAACTCCCTCTCTTGTCTGTGCTCCTCTCTCCTCCCTCTCTCTCTCTCTCCCTCTCTCCACCTGTTGATGCCATTGTTGCTCAGCCAGCATTGTGGTGCTTTATTTTTTTACTCCACTCATTTTACACACCCCTCTTTATTCTTCACATTCTCACTTTTTTTGATCAGCGGTCACCCATTCACTCAGAGGATATATAAGCAGACCGAAGAGAAAAGGTGGCTGAGAACAACGTAAGAAACCCACAGACACTCACTCACACATTTAAACACAAGCACTTTCAAAAGGGCAAGGAAGTTTGCACTAACTCTTCTACTCGGGACCAAGACTTTTGAGACACACTTGGGACAGCGTCAGTATTGGATCACAACTGCTGGCAGGAGTGATGTCTGTGTCTCTGTGGTGTGAGGAGCAAGAGGGCCAGGACAGGACTCAGTCTTCAGTCCGAGCCCCATGGGACCCCAGCGCCTCCGGACTGAGAGTTATTCAGAGACTTCTGCAGTCTGAGGAGAGATACCTGCCATCTCCTCTCTACATCGCTCTCATCCAGAGAGAACCACAGCGCAGAGAGGAACTGGCCAAGTGGACCATGGAGGTAGATTTGCATGCTAATAACCAAAATCTAGTGCTAGACATCGAGTATGTTGTTCATGTTTTTAATATCAGTAATTTTGTGTTTGAAGCGCTTTTCACAAGTAGGGTACATGCTAAAAGTTTTTTTTTTTTAAGTTATAAACAAAAGTTGTACAACAAAGATTATTAGTGTTTTACCAAAAAAAAAGTGTTTCTGCTTCAGAATTTTATATTGATTCAATATTTTACTTGTTTGTGAAATTTACTAGCATTTTCTAAGAAAAAAAAATCTATTTTTTTTCAGTGTAGGGCTTGAATCTTTTAAACTAGGGATTCCCAAATTGAGTTATGTGAGTGGCTGAAAAACTAATTAATTCAATCATAAAAAATTAAATGAAAATAAATAATTTTAAAATAAAACAATTAAAGTATAACACTTATACAACTTAACACTTATGCAGTGAAACACTCAGAGAAGCTGGCAAAGTGGACCATGGAGAAAGATTTTGGGGCTTTATGAAGATCGGTACTTATAATGGTTTAAAAATATATTTGTAATGAAAATAGGTTGGCACTCCTAGGCTCCAAAAATACAAAAATGACAGACTATCACACAGATGAAGTTTCGAGCACGCAGACTCTACATCAGACAATTAAAAGTTTTAAACCCACATGCCTTTATACAACAGGTGATTAATCACATGACTCAAAAAGCAGTATAAAGCCATGAAAAAAACTAAAAGTAATATTAAATTTGAAAGTCTAGTTCTAAACATACAACAATAACAATAATGTCAATAATACCTGTATTTTATTAGCCTAAAGAAAAATATACTTCACATTTATGTTTCTGATTAAAGGTTTGGTTCTCCTAAAAAGATAGCACACATTTTTTATAATGTTTCAAATGTTTCTGTCCATATAATTCAAAAGTCAAAGGGCTTCAAAAGAACATTGGACCTACTGACTTTCATTGTATGGGCCAAAAGACAGACATTTTTCTATTAAAGAAAGTCAGGTTTAGAAAGGCATGCGTAAATAATGACAGTATTTTCATTTTTGAGCGAACTATCCTTTTAATAGCACATTATTTGAGGACTTTAGATCAAGATGAAGCAAACTAACTAAATGACAGGGACAAAGTTCTACAGTTCATTACAGCTCGTTTGCTTCGACTATGAGGGCCTTCCTCTTCTGTGTTTTCAGGTGTGCTGTGAATGTGACTGTGATGAGTCTGTATTTCCCCTGGCTGTCTCCCTGTTGGATCGATATCTGTCGGCCACTCTATCCCTGCCTGTCTCTCCATCCTGTCTGGCTGCAGCTTGTGTTCTGGTGGCCTCTAAACTGACAGAAAGTGACACAGTTAGTGCAGACACGCTCTGTGCGGCAGCAGAGTATGACTTCCTCTCATCAAACCTGCGGGTGAGTGTTTAAAAAATCAATCAAAATTCACTAAAGGCTCAATATTATGGACAGTGCTGTCCAAAAGTCTGAAACATTCAATAAATCATTAGAAAATGCTTAGTGCTTTTCTGCATTTTTCTAATTTAACACTTTTCCCATTATAAATTAAATCATTTAAGTGAAAAGTGTTGGAAAAAATAGTAATAAAATTGACATATACATGTGCATATAGACAGTTTTATATATGTGACCCTGGAGCACAAAACCAGTCTTAAGTCGCTGGGGTATATTTGTAGCAATAGCCAAAAATTATAGATAGGTCAAAATTATTGATTTTTCTTTTATGCCAAAAATCATTAGGATATTAAGTAAAGATCATGTTCCATGAAGATATTTTGTAAAATTCCTACCGTAAATATATCAAAACTTAATTTTTGATGTGTAAGATGCATTGCTAAGTGCTACCTTCATTTGGACAACTTTAAAGGTGATTTTCTCAATTTTTTTATTTTTTTTGCACCCTCAGATTCCAGATTTTCAAATAGTTGTATCTCGGCCAAATATTGTCCTATCCTAACAAACCATACATCAATGGAAAGCTTATTTATTCAGCTTTCATATGATGTATAAGTCTCAATTTTGAAAAAATTGACCCTTATGGCTGGTTTTGTGGTCCAGGGTCACATATACTGTATGCTTACTCCGACAGGAAATGGAGCGTGTGGTGCTGGCGACTCTTCGGTGGGATGTGGCAGCAGTGACTCCTCAGGACTTCATCCCACACTTCCTGCGCACTCTCGGGGAACTCAGGGATGGAGATGTGTGTACAGGAGACTTTCTCGCAACGCTGCGACGCCACGGCGATACACTTGTTGCCTTGTGTGTGTGTGACTCGCGCTTTCTGGGAACTCCTCCTTCACTGGTGGCTGCGGCTGCACTGAACTCTGCCCTGCGGGGTTTAAGGGCCAAGAGTGTGGGAGAGCTGAGCGTCATGACCTCTGCCCTGGCCACACTCTGTCAGACTGATGTGGTGAGCCACGATTTATCTCAGAGTATGAGAGAGCTAAACATAAAATAATAATCGTCATTTTGGTTACACTTTATTTTAAGGTGTCCTTGTTACAATGTAATTATACATTTAAGTACTGAGTAATATTAATTAACTGCATGTACTTACTATGTAGTTAGGCTGAGGATTAGGGTTTGGCTTAGGGTTACTTGCATGTAATTATACATAATTAGTTGTTATTATAATTGTAAGTAGCCTACATGTAACCTGTGTAACAAAGACACCTTAAAATAAAGTGATACCATCATTTTTTTAGAGAGAGAGAGAGAGAATTATTATTATTATGACTTGTATATCTGTAACTATTCCTGCTTGTGCCGACAGGCGGTGCTGCAGTGCTGCACTGAGCTGATAGAGGGAGCTCTCAGGGAGAGACTGAGGAATGGAGCACATGAGGAGAAAGATGGTGATATTGAAGAGGAAAGAGCCAGCACACCCACAGACCTAAGAGAAATAGACTTTTAATACTGGGTTGATTTATGAGTGATATTTATTCTGCGACTCACTTTTATTTGTCAGTAAAACTGATTTAAACACAAAGTGACATTTATGTTTTGTCTAATGTAACTTCTGATCTAATTTATAATCATTTTTATTTATCTGTTTGAGGGATTACGATTTACTTGTGCCATATTTATTAACTTATGTTGCCATAACTGTAATTGTGATGACTTATGTATTTCAGGTTTATCCTTTTCACTTAATGTATTACATTTCTACTTTTTATATTATCATATTATTTATTGTGTGCACATTTTTATATTTAATTTATTTTGTTTGTCAGTGTTTCAGCCTGTCAGGGTTGGATAAAAATAAATATATATTTTTCGAAGTAATTAAAATAAAGTTTCTATGTTTGCCAACAATGTGCGTCTCTCAAAGTCCATTTATATAACAACACATGGCAAAAGAAAGAAAGAAATGCTGCAAGATCTTCAAACAGCTAAATTAGTTAGGACTCTCAAAGTCCAATATCTAGCACAATTAAAATATAAAACGAGAACAAACGAAAGAAAGAAAAAGAAAAAAACATTGTGCAAGATCAAAAACTAAATTAATCAATCTTGGTCCTTGCGTTTCAGTGTCGTGTAAATAATAATAATAATAATAATAATGATGATGATAATAAAAAATAGAAATAGGCTACCTTTTCTTGCATACAAATAACAGTAGTTTTTTAGGGACACTTACATTACATTGGCATTTTTGGTAAAGTGGCTTAATGGAATTATAAAAGTGTACCCCATTTATTATTTTAATAACAAACGGTGTTACAGACACAAAATACTGTTGGCTCATGTTTGTGGAAAGCGTCGCGTTTGGATTGCGTCATAATTCATGGCCGCACTTGTTTTTGAGGCAGCAACGCTGAGTAATTTGTAGTCACAGGTTTCACTCACTGCTCAAGCAGCATCTGACCCTGTGGTAAGAGAACTCGCTGTTTATCTGATTTAGACCGAAGAGTTTCGGACCAAACGACACTACAAGACGTCGGTAGATGACCGTGACTGTTTTTCTCGTGAAGTTGCATCTGTTGTGAAACATGTAACGTTAAAGTGTGTTTTCGCGAACTGTCACACAGACTTCCTTTCTTCGGCTGCTCTTTCTTGTCATGATCGATGTGTACTTAATACGTCTTATATAAATAAACCTGTCTGCTTAAAGAGACCGCCCTCTCTCTCTCTAAAGGGTGAAAGGAAAGGCTGTCTAATCTTTGTATCCAAAGGTGTCCAAGGATGACAGGAGGCTTGAAGGGGCTGCTGCTTTTGTCTCTGTGTCTTGTGGTGTGGACAGTGCCAATAGATCGCAACCAAGACCCTCCCCATGAGGAGAGAGCAGAGGAGAATGTGGTAAGACTGGTCTCAATCATGCTCATAGACTAGAACATGCCATGTGCGTTAATCATTTGTTCAATGTTCACATGCTCTCTTGTTTTGGCTGTACATGCATATGTCAGGATACTGGTCTGTACTATGACCGTTACCTCAGAGAGGTGATTGAGGTGCTGGAAACTGACCCTCACTTCAGAGAAAAACTCCAGACTGCCAACACAGACGACATCAAGGTAAAGCACGCACACTGTAGAGCACAAAAACTGGAATCCCATTCCATTTCTTTATAAAAAATGACAAGGTATAAGTATCCTTCAAGACAGACCTAACAGGAGCTCAGAGATTAAGTTATAACATAAGCTTCTGTAGCAAGTGTGATTTCAGCTTTATTTTTAATCTAGTTGGTCACATACTCTCAAAACTTATTTTATCTACCATATGTTTATTTATTTATTTAAAAATAATTATATATACATATATTTATTTTAATAATCTATATTGTATTTTATATGTATAATGTATTGTATACTTTTATACAGTGACTAGTCCTTTATTGTATGTTGTTTTTATTCTTTTATATAATTTGAGATGTTTAGGTCATTACCTCATAAAAGGCATTAAGTACAGTCTTGGTTTGCGTTTTTTATTTTATTTAATGGCGTTATTATTAACTCTTTATTTAGGAATTTTATTTATTTTAATAACATGTATTTTACATTTATAATGTACTTTTTGTACAGTGATTTATATATTGTATTGTTATTTTTATTATTTTATGTAATGTGTAATTTTATGAGATGTGTATGTAGGTCATTGCTTCATAAAAGACATTAGGTACATAGAACTTGTCCCTTAGTCTTTTTTCTTAAATTGACATGCTTTTTTTGCTTCAAATTAAAGTTTGTAATGTTGTGATTCATCACATTCGTGTGGAGCTGGTTTGTTTGGTTCATGATTTTATAAAAATCCCTATGGAGAAAATTAATGAGGAAAATGCCAAATGTGCACAGTCTCTGTGTTCTGTTTTGCCTTTGAGCTTTAAAGTTTTATAATTTCATTGGTACTTCAAGTACTTAATGGAAAGCTACTGTGTTTTAGAATGGGCGCCTCAGCAAGGAGTTGGATTTGGTGGGCCACCATGTGAGGACGCGACTGGATGAGCTCAAGAGGCAAGAGGTCTCACGCCTCCGGATGTTGCTGAAGGCTAAACTGGACAGCACCAACGCACAGAGTGAGTGTGTTTATGTATTATGTATTTATGTGTTAACGTGACTCCCACACGCATGTTCACGCAAATGCTTGTTGTGATTGCAGGTGTTCAGATGGATCACGTCTCCTTGTTGAAGCAGTTTGAACATCTGGACCCTCATAATCAGAACACATTTGAAGCCAAAGACCTGGAGCTGCTTATCGTAACGGTAACACCCATTCCTAACATGCTATAATGTGAAATAGCAAAAAAATCATTAACCAACAGCGTAGATTGACAAGCATTCAGTGCATACTTGTTTGGCAACTACATTTAACCTTTCAAATGATACTAAATAAAATCCTGATCTTTCTTCTTTTCTTGATTTTGTGTTAATCCTATTGTATCAGATTATAGTATACATAGTTTTTCGTTTTTTTACGCTTTTTATTAGATTTTTCTACAGAAGAGAGCAGGTGCACGAATAACAGACCCATTCACCACAAGTGAAAATTCCACAATATTACATAAAAACACAAATACATAATTTGAAAATAAATAATAAAATCAAACAAACAGAAAAAAATAAATAAAGTGAAGAGTCATACACTTTTTTTTTTTTTGTGCTTATTTGTTAGGCCACTAAAGATCTTGAGAATTACGATGCGGAGCGTCACGAGGAGTTTAAGCGCTACGAGATGCTGAAAGAACACGAGAGGAGGGAGTACCTGAAGAGTTTGGACCAGGAGAAGAGAGAGAACGAGGAGAAGAGAATCGAGGAGCTGAAAGAAAAGCATCGGCAACACCCTAAAGTTAACGCTCCGGTGAGGGAATGAAGAACGGGAGATGTATGGATAGAAAGATCGACTGAGATGAGTTGTATTTGTTGTACTTCCTGAGTAAAACGTTCTTTTTTTTACTTCCTTTTCAGGGTAGCGTGGATCAGTTACGGGAGGTCTGGAAAGAGACAGATGGGCTGGATCCACAGGAGTTCAATCCCAAGACATTCTTTAATCTCCACGGTGAGTCTTTTTGTCCTCAAGTAGTCCATAAGCAGCCGTTCCACGGGCAAAATGAATTTAATTGCGTTTTCTCACTTAGATGCGAATGGTGACGGTGTGTTGGATGAGCAAGAGCTGGAGGCCCTTTTCACAAAAGAGGTAATGTTTCACTGAATCATTGCATTCTGTTATTGACAGTGATGGAAGCCTCTTTATGCTGTGACTGGGTCAGCTGTTAAGACTCTAGTGGGCTGTAGTGGCTGTCCTGAAGAAAGCATCATTAACATGGGGATCCATGATGAAGCTCATAAAAGCTGTTCTTGACAGGCAGAAAACGAGCAAATGGCAATAATTGTGTTCATCTTTTCTTTTCTACTCTCTTAGCTGGAGAAGGTGTATGATCCCAAGAATGAAGAGGATGACATGATGGAGATGGAGGAGGAGAGGCTGAGGATGCGAGAACATGTCATGCAAAACGTAAAGCCTTCACTTTTTTTTGCAGTGATTCTTGATAATTGAGTGTGTTTACACAAAGCTAAAACGAAACCAAAATCAGTTCATAAAAGCTTAAATGCTGTGTTTACATGAAATTATTTAGAAATTGTGTGAGGTTTTTCTTTGATTTTATTGTTTAAAATGTGCGATGAGTGAACGCTGAATAAGCCGTTAGAATGTCCAGGCAAAAATGTTGTAGGAGTGTGTATGTAAACGCTTTCATTCTCTCTCTCTCTTTCCCTTTATCTGTCTTTCTCCTTTAGCTTTTTAACACTTTCACAATGTGTGGAGCAGCAGTGACTCCATCTGTTCTGTTCCTTCAGGATGCATGAGATGAAGAAATAGTCATTCTTTTATCTGATTTTCACTGCATTAGAGTCTTTTTTTTTATTAGTTACTTCAGTTCATTTTTAATTACCTTTAAACCGTGCACTTTTATATAGCTTTTTCCTCTCTCGCTGCTTCCTGCAGGTAGATCTCAGTCGTGATAGACTGGTCAGCCTGGAAGAGTTTCTCAAATCTATGGAGAAGAAAGAGTTTAACAACCCGAAGGAATGGGAGGTTAGAGCCTGATTTTGATGCATGGTCTGACTTTATTATACTATCTTTACATGGCAGTGTTTTGTGCCAACTCATTATCTTTCTATACTTCAAGACACTGGATGATACAAAGCCAGTGTACACCGAAGAGGAGCTGCAGCGCTTTGAGGCAGAACTTCGGGATAGGGAGGTGGAGCTTGGCAGAAGGGCGGAGCAATTACGACAGGAGCAGGAACTTCTCAAAGAGAGAAGCAAAGCCCTAGAAGCCCAGAAACGAGAATATCAGCAGGTAAAAGACTGCTTTCAATTGGTTTTTCAAGGTTTTTTGTTGTTTTTTACTTTTAAGCCCATTAGTAAAACAAATGATTTTATTTAATTTGCAACATCAGTACTGCATATTATAGTAAT